TACCCCACAGATCTTTTCAAAAATTCAGTCTAGTGGAGACCTATAAAAAGTAGCGCGATTCTGAAATTGTTGTAGCGATTGAACCTTTATTCATCGAGTTTCAATTTTCGTTGAGTTGGCTCTTGCGTAACGGTCGTTAAATTCAAGATAAAAACTAATTAAAACCTCATTTGCATACGGGCTTCCGGCTAGCTGTACAGTATCATAGCGGCTTGCATATTTCCTGCATTTTGCTTTGCTATGATAAATTTGTTTATTTCTCACTTCTCAAATTTGTATAGGGGACAGTTTAGAAGAATGTCTTCATCTTCATCGATATACGTAAGCTCAAGAGAGTACTTTAGATCAAGTGATGTGATATCACTCTCAATGTTGTGGCTATTTAAAATAGTTTTCCTATTTGCCGGTATGGCTCTATGTACAACGTTGAGGGCGGTTGCCAGCAATCTTTTGAATAAATCGGCACGGATCCATGTAATGCTGCAACATTCAGCCATTTACCAACACATCTCCAAGTGCAGAAGATTTAGTGGTTTGTGTTGCAATGGGTGCAAAATCAGATTGTTGAAAAACAACGGTTCTTCAAATACTTCTTAATAAGTATGTGGTTCAACTTTCCTTAATGATGTACATGAGTACCATGTTTTCAATATATCGCTATAGAAATCAGAGACACAAGAGTAATAACAAATAGTTGTTTGTCGTAGTTTAAGCCGTTCACCTGCCTTAAAAAATAGTCCGTGAATATAAAACTGGGATGCTTTAAACCTGAGTAAAAATATCGGTGTATATATTGTAGACGGGAGGCGGCTATTCGTGAAGAGAGGTGAATTAAGCCCTGTCCACCCACGTGGTTTGACATATAAAGTAATTCCGCTGGGATCAAGTGGCATCCCTGCCAAAAGAACTCAAGAAAAAGAGTCTGCAAGCAGTCGACCATATGTTTCGGCGGACACAGCCACATAAACCGGTGTAATAACTTTGAGGCGACGAGCTGATTTATTACTAGGGTTCGCCCCTTTATATGACATTGCTGGTGTATACTTGGTCCATCATTCAAACTTTGTTTTAACATTTTCTATAATGTCATCCAAGTTTTTAGCTATGTATTCATGTTTATTTCCGAGGAATGTTCCAAGGACCTTAAACTCGTCATTATTCCAATCGATACCCAGAGGTGTGTCAGTTCTATCACGCCACTTCCCAACCCATAACCCTTGCGACTTTGTGTAGTTCACACGCGAGTTGCTGGCGCCTTCATAAATTCGCAGCCATTTCTCAAGTTTAGAAAAGTCGCACTGCTGGGTAAGAAAGAAGCTGATGTCATCAGCATAGGCGGTGAGATTCACGTGTTTTCCACAAGAGTAATTTACTTCAAAACCATGTATATCGCTCTTGGTTCTTGTTTTATACAGAAGTGGTTCTATAGCAATAGTATAAAGTTGACCGGAGAGTGAACAACCTTGGCGTATGCCACGTAAAAACGGTATAGGGCTTGTAAGGGTAATGCTGATGCGTACAATACTATGTGTGCCAGTATATATCAGTTTCATGTATTTTAAAAATGTATTCCCAAAACCAAATGCTTCAAGTGTTTTAAAAAGATAACAATGATTCACTCTATCAAAGGCTTTCTTTTGATCCAGTGCGACAAAGCCGAGCTGAATGTTATTGCGGTTAGAGTACGTAATTAGGTCGCGCACTAGGTTTATGTTGTTGTTTGATTATCATGAATGATGTTACCAATTGCGGATCTTAGCCTGATTGAGAGTGCTTTCGTTAAAATCTTGTAGTCCGCACATAGAAGACACACCGGTCTCCAATTTTTCAATAAGCGTAGAAGCGTAATCACTGCACGCCGACATGACAGAGGAAGCTGACCGTCCTCAAGAGAAGCAGTGATAACTTGGTGGAGATCAGGACACAGAAGAGACCAGAAGTGCCTGTAAAACTCACCAGGTAAACCATCAATGCCTGGAGATCTACCTTTAGATAACATTTAATGGCCACAGAAAGCTCATCATACGACAAAAGAGCATCACAATCCTCCTTCAAGGCGTTTTCAAGTTGAAGGAGATCTTCTAAAATGATATTTTGGGACTCAGCTGACACCGGACCAGGGGAGAAGAGATCGGTATAAAATTGTTTAGTCAACATGCGTATTTCGGCCTGGGAGTCAGTGGTCGTATCGTCTGGCTTTTGTAGTTGGGTCATAATCTTTTTGCTCTCATTGTGTTTTTCAATGTTAAAGAAAAAGGCAGTTGGTGCGTCATTTTCGTTCAGGATTTTGTGGCGAGCCCTTATAGCTGCCCCTTTGCATTCATTTTTATTAAGTCATCAAGTAGCGTCTTTTTTCATTAAGTTGTGCAGCGACGAAGTTACTTGGTTCGTGTACTTGTTCATTGATTTCTTTACAGAGTGTGTGCTTGGTTTGTTTGTAACTATGAGCGAGCATTGCACTATATTATTTAGTTAGCTCTTTTATTTTATGTTTACCGACATCCCACCACATTTGAACAGAGTCAAAAAGTGTTTTTTGAATACGCCATGACAACCAGTAATCATTAAGTATTTGACAGTATTCGTCGTCCTGTAGCAGGTTTAAATTAAAGCCCATATCGGGTTATGGTTGCTGATCAGCTTGACAAGGCAATGGTCGGAAAAATCGTGATGAGGCTGAATAGATGCAACTTTAATTCTGGCAGCAAGAGAGGTAGATAAAAAGAAAGTGTCAATACGGGATTTACTTTGATTTCTTGATCATGTGTATTCCCGTGATGTGGTATTGAAATAACGCCATGAGTCAATAAGTTTGAAGCGCCTTACAGTGTTTGATAACAAATTAGCGGATGGAGGGTGTGGTTCGGGGCTGTCTAATCTGTCCATAACAGGGTTTGCAGTGCAATTATAGTCTCCTCCTATAATGACTGGATCCTGATTTAGACCATTTAGAAATTGTTTTAAAACCTTGAAAAAAGCAAGCATCGGTCGGAGCGTAAACGTTGATCAGATGAAGAGGAGAGCCTTCAACATTCAAGTGAATATTTAATAACCGGCCAGGAACTACGTCGTTGCAGCTCAGTACTGTAACATTGTTTTTAGGATTGATTAATATGGAATCTTCCTAACATGTTTGTATAGATATATACTAGACACGCCGATCATGATGTATTCATTATTATTACTTGACTTGAAAAAAATCATGAAATTTTAGAATTAAGAATGTTTTGTCTCGAATGACTTTCTAAAATATATATCACCAAATAAAATGACCATTCATTTAATACATGCGTGTATACAAAATGATAATTCACAACGATCTGATTATAATAATTATAACATTGAGATGAGTAATACCGACAGGAGCGTACCAAACATGTGCAATTAACTACTATATTTGGTTATTCTTAAGGTAGAAGGCTACTCATAATTTTTGGGGAAGTTTGTCATACATCGCATGACAATGCTCATAGGTTTATTATGTAAAATTATGAAGCTACTGTCCCATGGCACCATGAAATATCACGAAACTTGTCATATTATTTTTTAAAAATTTTTATTTTTAGAACAATTCCATAGAGCGCAATGTTAAAGAAAAATTGCATTTTTGACATTTTTAAAATCCAGATTTTCAAAATAATTTAGGACAACAATAAGTACCCTATTATTAACAATATATGATATTTTCAGTCTATGTCACCATCAATACTTTCAAAATGGCCACTATACACTATATTACAACCAACATTTTCTAGAAAATTAAGTCAATATTCTTACAATGCCTGGAAGTACAATATATTTGAAAATGAATAAATTCTGAGTATTTGCATTCATGAGTAGTCTTCTACTTTAATCTAAAATTCCTGGAATAGGATTGATATCCACATCATGTCTAGCTAGGAAGATGTTTGATTGATGGCTCTAGTATTCTCAAGTACGATGTTGTGTTAAGCAGTGTTCCATGAATCCTTGTCATTCCTAAGTCTGTATACAACAGTAGTTATACCCCTACTAGCCTCAAAGTAAGGTTCTCCTTGGTGAACTGATTGTGATCAGACCAAGCTTGGAGCAATGGGTCTAGTACTATAAATCATAGTAGATGATGTGTGTTAGCATGCATTGTTCTTGATATTCATATGTTTAAGGGAGTCATAATGGTAAATGCTAGATTTATAAACACACGAAAATCACCATTAGTACAAAGACTATAACTGTCTTTCCAGTAGACCTGCTACAAGTATTTCTGAACCAGGGCCGGATCCGAGGTAAAAAAAAAACAGACAGAGCGCCTACTGAGGATGGGTTGAGACACCAATGGAATTTGATATTCATTGCGAGGACTGAGAGTTTGAATGTGCATGAAACTAGAATTCCACACACACTTACAGTGGAGAGAGATAGGAATGTTTGCATCAGGTTGTGTAGCTCGACCACGAATAAGCGATCGCCTGTGAGGACAACTGCCACTGTGGATCATTAGTTAGGATGAATATCTTACAACATTTTGCATAACAAGTGATTATGTATTAATTTGGTTCACAGACAGAGGAAAGAATGATTCAGTATTGATATAGTAAAGAGGCTATGTAAGACTTGCCTGGGTTGGCATTCATAAATTATATTAAATGTTCCAACCCAAGGATGACGTATTTAGGTTCTGCTGGCTTTCTCGTATTCTTGACTTGTTTTGTCGGGGAGAATTATCATTTTTAATATGAATTGAAGGCAATCGAGTACTTATACCAAGGCGCCTAGGCAATTGAGATGATCCAAATAGATGCCTAGGGTGGAAAGATTAACACTTAATAGCCTATTGGTACGCAAGTCATATTTCAATGACGTACATAGATTTGAATAGGTTGAGACCTCTGCCCAGGTGGAATGAGTTTCTACACCTGGGTGTGTTGAATGTGGACAAGTGAGACCTACTAGGTGTAATTTATGAAGATCAGGGGAAATTTCAATAATTTCCCAAAGAAAGAAACAAAAAGAACAATGTGCGGATATTAATACGGATACTATATAGTATATATCTATATATTATTCTTTATTGTAAAATCCTTGAAATCGAGGCCAACGCCAGACGGTTCACATTTTTCCTCCATTGTCCTGACAATAGATGTCAAAAATTTGGACGTGCATCTTCTGCCCTACGCTGTTTTCGAAGGGGAAGATCACTTGGAGTCCTGAAAAATAGAAAAAAGATGCCATATCAGTTACCACGAAGATGAATTTGTTTTATCTCGTATTATATTACGGTTTTAGCATGAGTTAGGCATTCTTCCCATAACCTGTTAAAACGTTGGACCTAAATGGCCAACGATATCTCCTACAGAATGAGCACGCCTTCAGTTAGTGTTCTATCCTCGTCCACGCAACGTGGGCCTATATCAATGTAGTTGTGGGTCCATGGCTCTTCTTGTGTAGATATACACCATATAGTATCGCAAACACTTGGCAGTGCAAAAACCGCGACAACAATGAGGTGTTTTATGTTTTCCCCGCAATTCAGCTTGCTAAACTGTACACAACTTTAGAGACAACCATTTGTTTTAAAGCTGAACTGTCATATATGTTCACTTGTTAACATTTTTACGTACTTCACGTGATTGTTCAAGTGTCGAACATTCCCATGACCACTAGCGGCAACTTCACATGGTTCCAATAATATAACGGATACCACCAACATTAAGCATACCATGGCGACCAGGGATTTCATTGTGACGTCAACACCTGCATAAAAAGACAAAATGGTCATGCCACGTTATAGTAAACTAAACTGTCTTCATGTTTCTTCATCATGTAAAACAAAATATGAAGATACGACAATCATTTAAATAGTGAACTGTCATGTATGTCAACTTAATAACAATATTCCCATTTGCCTATTAACCCCCTCCCTAAACCAACAAAATTTATTCACACAGTAACGGTATATGATGTAAATATTAAAGCGAGAGGGTCGTCACCTGCGCACGCGCGGGAATTGGGTACCGAGCGACGATAAAAGACGCTATAAACACAAAGGCTCATTGGTAGACGATTGTTTATAAACAATGACACGCTATGGACATCTGATGCATGCGCAGGTGACGACTCTCTGCTTTAAGCATGAATTGTGCTTTGCATATGACATGTCTTTAATCGTTATTAGAAATTAATTTTCGTCGCCCAGCTCTTATATAATTTCTTTTTTCTTTAGAAGAGTCCCTATTTCTACTCGTCCCACACTCTAGTTACCATGGTACGACCACTGATATTCCACTGTGTTCCAGAACACGTATACCTCGGTGCAAAGGAAGGTATACATTCGAATACTCACAAAAAATACAATTTTATCAAAATAGTTTATATACCTGAATATCTAAAAAAAGATAGTGAGGTGATTGTTGCAGTGAATACCGCGGCCGAATCTACTGGACTAATTTATCAGTTGATTTTTCACAAATGAACAACGCCTTGACCATCAGATTATTTAAACAATTTTTAATTTTCATTATAATCCGAATTATTCACAAATAATCCGCTTTGTTACTATTATTGGACACCCGTATGCAGACCCGTTTTCATTATTTTAAACGTAGTAAATACACATTTTTCCTACAATAATACAGCGATGTCTTCAAAATATCTTGTTTTCTATTTGTGAAATTAATGTTGATATAAGGTATTTGTGAAATTAATATAGACATGATACGCATTCGGAAACTAATAAACATTTCCCTAAAATCTACACATATGACTTAATTACAAACATTGTAGTACATTACAAACATTGTAGTACATAGCAATTTAAAATCTGTATATTTTTTAACATAATAAAATACAACATATATATTATCATACATACTAGGCTAATGTGGTGTTCTTTACAATGAGAATGGCGGAACGAGAGGTTAACTTCTCAATACTGAAATAGTAAAAATAGGCATGACAAATGGTAAAAAGTCACCTGTTGTGCGCCTACCCAGTGAGCGATCAAATGAGATCAAATCACACAATACTAGCCATATTTTGAAATTCCATACATATAAAATGTATTGAATATTGTTATTGGTAAATACAGCCACAAATTTTAAGTAATGTCATAACAGCGTTCCTCGTATACTTGATGTGCTATAACCCTGTTGTTACGTAATGATTACGATGTAATGTAGCCGAAATGAAAAGCATGAATTTAATTTAAACTTACCTTTACGTGTTATCGATGTGATGCTGTGATGAGTACAAGCTAGATATTCTCAACCGAATATCTTTTTTTCCACGTCACAGTAGATTCATAAATATTCATGAAATATTTATAGAATGTTATCGTGGTATCGAAAACCACGCTTATACATTGAGTAAAGCTCCTTATTTAAATGTGTACGCGTGGTTGCTTTAGTGAATTTCAAATTGCCAGTTTATGCATAAATAGTATATAGATATTAAATTTTTGCTATGAATATATATACCTTGTTTTATTCTATGCAGCAGTAAATATGAATTGAATTGAAGCAATTCACGAGCAGTCAGTTTTTAGTGTGTTGGACACATTTCGTTGACACGCTCATCCAAAAATATAACCCCATCCAACCCCACAACACCACGAAACACTACAATAAATAATTTAATATATCTACTATGTGCAATTCTTTTCATTGTTATGTGTTTTTACCAAGTAAAGTTATATTTATTATTAAAGTTGTTCATACATGAGCTGTTGAACACACTAGTAGATATAATTTGTAATTTCGTTCAACTTCTTTCAATCATAATTCAAACAAAAAATATAGAGAATATAATAAATTATCAGTATCCGTAATATTCTTGTGTAATCGGTAATTACGAAAATAATTTTTAATATATTCGTGAATCCTTTTGTTCAAATCAGTTGTTTCATAATGTCATTAGTTTTTATCTTAGTGTTATGTACCTAACACATTGACGATGACTGAAGTTATTGGTTTAGATTGGATTATGGGAACTCCGCATTTAATGTGGCTGAAAGCAGCAAAAAAGAGTGCTGTTGTATTGTTCTCAAATAAGGTGTTGTGTCAAGCAGTGTTATCTGAATCAGTGTGATTAATATGCCTGCATACATCACTAACTTTCCCACGCAAAAACCATTTATAGCCTCATCACCCACTGTAGCGCGTTATCATTTCCATCAAAAAGCATGACTGCACGACGCGACTGATGTTTTACACTGTCACGAGTTGCTCGGATCACATTATAAAGAATAATTATGTATTGTTAAAAGGACGCTAATACATTGAGTAATTGTAATTGTACTACACAGTCGTATGTGTAGATTGAAGGGAAATGTTCATTAGTTTCCGAATGCTTATCTTGTCTATATTAATTTGACAAATACCTTATATCAACATTAATTTCACAAATAGAAAACAAGATATTTTGAAGACATCGCTGTATTATTGTGGGGAAAATGTTTATTTACTACGTTTAAAATAATGAAAACTGTTTGTTGAACGGCGATTAGTGTGTCTGCATACGGGTGTCCAATAATAGTAACAAAGCGGATTATTTGTGAATATTTCGGATTAAATTGAAAATTGATCAAATAACCTGATGGTCAAGGCGTTGTTCATTTGTGAAAAAGCAACTGATAAATTAGTCCAGTAGACTCGACCGCGGTAAAACGCTGACGCTTTTATTCACTGCAACAATCACCTCACTATCTTTTTTTCAGATATTCAGGTATATGAACTATTTTGATACAACTATATTTTTTGTGGGTATTCAAATATTGATATGAAGTTGACATACACGACAGTATTTAAATGATTGTTTCTTCATCATGTAATGTGAAGATAAGACAAACAGGTTGGTTTACTAAAACGTCTCGTCAAACATTTATGCAGGTATTGTATGTAAAAATGTAAGTATGTAAAAATGTCAACAAGTGGTCTTGAATGTTGTACAAAAAGTTACATGCTGTACGTTCAAAGGAATTCAAAATATCTATATCGATCGGTGCCTCATGCAAACATGCCTCTCTCAATGATCCAGTGGCTAAATAAAACCCCAAAATGCCCATAAACGTGGAGTCGTATAACATGACCCTGCACACCATCGATAGTTATCGTAAAGGAAGAATTCAGAGTAGCCGTTAACAGCACGAAAAACTGGTATGTCAATAAACTGCACATCGGTTAACCTTTCACCGAATCAAGGTCGACCGTTTCTACTAGAAAACAAATATTGATTCAATTGTTCAGTCTTACATTCGATGGCTAATAATTAAAGGTGGCATTGCCAACTGTTCCGTGGTCATTGCCTTGGCCAGGGGAGAGATTTTAAGCTGCAATCAAAGTCTTCTATTCGAACTTGGCGGGTATGTAGATTTGAACAAACACTGGCTAGATTGTTATTGCATCGCACATTGTTTTAAATTGGTGAATCTGTCGTACCCGTCAAATGAACCATGGATAAAGAGGGACCCCGCCTCATCACTATAACTGGTTAGACAATAAACAACAATTCACCTCCTCGTTGTTTCATCTCTTTTTTGATCCCATGTTGCTCTACAAAGGCAAAATGCAGAGATACCACGCAACGTACAATTTTCCAGTGAGCTGGTACATTCATCACACTGGTCTAATTCTGAATCGATGTTACGTTACGTCGAAATAGTCATTGTCCCGTATGTGGAAGACACAAAATCACGGCTCCAGCTTCCACCAACGCAACAAGTTTTTGCTATCTTTGATGTTTACAAAGCAGATCCCGGGGAAGAGTTGCTACAACAATTTCTTTGATATTCGTTCTTGCTGTTGTACAGATAAGCATCAATCATTAGACCTTTTCCGTCAAGGTGTTCAAAGATATGTTGAAAAAACAATTTCAACAGTTCTACGCACATAAAGTTTGCGATGCACTTAACAATGGCGACGAAGACCCAACGATTGATCTCAGAATTTGTGAACCCAAACCAGTTGTTTGTTTACTGCCATTCAAGAGGTGTCTTGTCGTTGTGAGCATATTATTGACGGATTCAAACAAGCAGGAATTTTGGATTGAGCTTGAAGATTGATTTGAATTAGTTTATTTCGCGAACTCTCACATTGGACATTTTTATCGCCTCACTTCATTTACACTCTTGATATGTGACATTTGTGTAATTATTGATGCTTTAAATGAATTAAATGTACATATTAAGTGAATTTACTTATTACATAATAAACAAATCAGTCACTGTATGAAAATAGTGTGTATCTATTTTTTACACATGGACACAATTACTATACGAGAGAAGAGAGAAGCGCCCTGCTTACCACTAATGAATACATAATAGACTAAAATCACCCGAGGATGATGAGTTTCTGACCAAGACTCACTGGACAGTGGACAATGAGGGGGGATCTGTTCTGCGAAGGTGTGTCCATAATGCATTATCCAAATTTCCTGACTCCCCATTGCATGAACATTCTGAAGTAGACATCAGATGTTGTTCTGTATCCAACGCAGACTGTCAGAAAATACTCACATGTTGGGCACACAACTATTTTGACACTATTCAACTTCTGTGTCCAGTGAAACAATGCAAAGCCATTTCTAACACCTGCTGTAATATTTATCCTGAGTTTGTTCTGGCCAAGGCAAATACTTTTTTACAATATCCCCTTTCCTGTTTTATGTACTCTCTCTATATACTCACAATCATGTCAATGGCTTAAAAGATTACAGTATATGCATTCCGCTATTTACAGATATGACATCGTTTTCGTCCACTCAGAAAATAGGTCGGCCTCCGAGTGACGCAAGGCCATATGGAGTCTTAGCTAGAACTAAATTCTGAAATTTCAACCACTACCGTTATGTAGGATAAGGTATGAATAGTCATTGCCGGTACTGTTTGGGTGAGTGAATCACCTCTAACTATGCCCAATATACAATGGCCTAATGACTACATTTCTCTTTATGAGTTCCGACCAATTTTGATATTCTCTTCATGAATTCTGTAAAGGTGGTTCCCGAATTGTGTTTAGTGGGGACTTCAACTGCAGTCTAATGATGACAAGCTTGGATGGAGGCTCTCTTTCTAACCATAACTCCTTTGTTGGATGTAGGCAACTTGGCCGAGTGTTTAGTGACTTCTATGGTTTACTCACCACCCTACTACTAATACCCGAGAGTTCACTATGCAGAATGCTAATAATATCATTGCTTCCCACTCAGGTAGATGTGTTCAAGATGCTTGAGACATAACATATATTTCACCATGCCCTCATTCTGAACATGAGTTTGTGAAAGTCACAATTTTCCCTTTCGCTGCTCGCCACCGCATGATCCAGATGTCTGGAAATACAATACCTCATTACTCTAAGATCCTGAAATGATAAACGATTTAGAAAAGCGTTACTGCAACCAGTGTTTACATAGATGGCGGTGGGAGATGGCAAGACGTCGAATGAAAGTTCTTTTGAAATCACATACCCATCATATAGAAAATAGATGGGACAATATATATCAAAACTGAATCAGGCAGACCAGTCCAAGCCTACCCTATAATAATAACATGAAATTAAAACAAAACTAATAAACGTAATACTAAGCACGTACAGGGTGTATAGATCTGGCCACGTGTTCAAAAAAATTGACTTGGTTTGGAAATGCACTAGATACTTTCGCATCCATGAACATCGCAGGGATAAGGAAAAACACATATCTGCTATTAAAAATAAACAACATATTATTTATCATTTGTTAAGTGGTCTTTCCTAATAGAAGTTATCAAGAAAATGAATTTTGGTTCCTCATTAATCCCTACCATTAAAACCCTCTGCAGTGATATTCATAGTTCTGTTCCTCTCACCCCTCTTTCTAGAGGCAGGGTTGTTCCGTCTTTCACCTGCTTTATACTCTTTTCAAATTGACCTTTGCAGGCAATCTCAGTGCATCCAGGGGTTTATCCTGCCAGGGCTCAATCAATTTGACCTCTTCAGTATACATAGTAATTTCTCTTATGAGTTTGTCTCAATCATCTGCTTTCCAAAATTCCAACACCAAACCTCGCAGGTTGTTATTCCACATAGATTTGAATGCTTTGATAGTGATATTTGATAGTTTAATATTTTGATAAACACAATATCTGTAATTTGTGATAGTAGATACACAGACTTCTGTTTAAGTGCCTAGACAGCGAAGCTTGTGATGAGGTTGCACCAAATGAATATAATAGCATTTGGTAAGTGCCAGGGTCTCAAGGTAAATTACCATCTTTCCACCAGAAAAAAACT